ATCAATGACAATGATTACATGTTTTTAATTTTTCCTTTTACAATTGAAATTTTATTCTTCATGATGATTTAACTCCAGTCCCCGTTAAAACATTATTAACATTTTGCTTTCAAATTACTTCAAAACATCTTTCAAAATATAACTTACCAGTATGGATTCTCTCTTTTAAAATAATTCTACTTTAATTTAACTTAGGAGATAATATAATCTATTCATCAATACTGTTTAGGAAATAATATATATATTGTATATATGGAGTTTTTATGAATTTGAGAAATTTCCAGAGGTGCAAGTGCCTGCGACATTGCATTATTACCTGACAATGATGGTTTTAAAAAAATAAACACTTAAACATATTTGTAAAATTCACGCATAAAAAAAGATAAACTGATAGGTAGAAAGACATTTAATGACGTTTTAAAAAGTCGAAAGATAAATTATTGTTAACTGTTTTAAACTCAGTGACTGAGCCCTGTCATAATTAGCTCTCGGAAATTTATAAATTGTTGAATCTAGTTCTGTACTCCATTGTATAAAAGGGAGAAATGTTCTTGTCCCTATACCCAGATGATTCCAAAAAGTGTTATAAAGATGCTGTCACTTTTATGCAAGTTGGCGATTGTTCTTCAGAATTGAGACCTTCACATGAGCATCCTGGTTACCTTGATAAGGATTACTTTCTCTGTTATATTCTTCATTAGTTGAGTCCTGTGGTATTGTAAACTGTATGAGATTGGTCTGAGTTTCTAGTCTTCTTTATTGTAAGTATGTCAGAGAGCATTCACTTGAAGAAAAATAATTTCTTAATTGATGAATGATCTGAATAGCATGCTGATCAAGAAAAGAATCACCTCAATAATTTGCAAAGGTGTCTGTTGATGTTATATAAAGGGTGCCTGTATGTTTGCAGATTGTCCTGTTGGAAAACACTATTTGGTAATGCAGTAGGTTCAGCATGTCACTTGCATATCAGTATGTTGCACTAATATGCATATTGAATTATACCCATTATGTATACTGAAGACTATTGATGCTAATGGTATTTAAAAAATGATTCTTCTTGAAGAGTTGTTGCTTTTCACCTGTGCAAAAACACTAGCCCTATTTGCAAAGCCACTGCCGTTCTCTCAGTCACAAAGTATCATTACTGAAGCAGAATGAAAGTAAACATTGAACACAAAATGACATTATTAATCACTTTGAGTAACTCTGGAGTGACAAAACGTGCAGGCATTCACAATGACTATTCAAAGTCAGTGGCAGTGTTTTCAAAATGTTAGCTTGGCTATAAACATGCCTTGGAGCATCCAGGTAATATTGGAGTGATAATAGAGCATCCATATATTCCATAGTTTTTAACTATGGAGATTTTGGAGCTTCTATTGCATGAAGCCAGATCTATCGATTTATGTATTCTGGAATGCCTATGTAGTGGTGTCCCATCATAAAGGAGCCAGTATCCTTCTGAAGATCAATTTTTGCCTTAAAAAATATCCTTCCTTAAGATAGTTAAAGTATTGTTAATATGGCTGCTTTCTTCAAATTAAAAATTGCTCTTTATAATTGTACTGGCATCTTACTGTCAGCAACTGTTGTAAATTTTTCCATCTTTGCAAAAGCTGTTCAACTTGTACGAAGTCCCAGCTCATTTCAGACAGGACATCATAAAGCATCTGCCTCTGCATTGTAATTTCATGATAGTGCTCCAATCCTAATTCAACTAATCATATTTTTTTCTAGCCATTGACTCTTAACTTCAGCCCTGCTTTGTTGCCTCTTTTTGAATTTCTAGAGCACTAGGATCCAAAGACCAACTAGCTATATCTAGGCATATGATTAAATTTAGAGTAATATCGCAGCTGTTTAAGAAAAATGTTTTAGATGACATTATGCCTTTTCTACCTGTTAATCTTTAACCACACACCAAAAACGACTAAAGAGAATTAGAAATTATGTAGTTTTGAGAAAAGTCTTAAACATTAGCTTAGTAGCCTAGCTTTTCCCTTTTCTCATAATCCTTAAATACTTGATTGAATAGAAGCTGCAACAATTTCCTTAACTAAAAAATACACCCTATACAAAATTTACTTGTATAAATGTTAGCACAGAATTTTTATATTTTTGTGTTTCCTCTGTAGAAGAGTGTTTGGGATGTTTAGAGAAATCATGCTATCAACAGAATCCTTCGTTAATACTGTGTTACTTTATGGCAGTACTACTTATAAATGATTTTATCATTGCCAATGTATAATGCAAAGTAAGAGCTCATGTTTTTGTAGTATATTTGTAAAAATTACAAAATTTACTTGTCAATTTAGAGAGTATGTTATCCTAACTCTATGTGTTTCTTGATTTCTTGTCACTTCATTTCAAATACCCATCTTTGCATTATGCTATAAGTTAGAAGGTATAACATTATCATATATATATATATATAATGTGGCAGTTTAACTGTAACTGGACATTTGAACTTTCATTTATCTTCTAACTGTTTATTTAATTGCATTATTTGATAAACTTAAAACACTAAATTTAACTGTTAGGAAACTGTATGTATTTATGTAACTGTATCTTAGTAGTATGATTCTGTTGACACTTATGTGCAGACACATGCATTCTTATTACTTGTTTTTGTTAAATATAAAAGTTTTTATGTTGTGAACATGACTACTATTTTATTTTACTAAGAGAATTACTTCTCTGCCAGATAATGTACATGTGTTATGACCTAGTATACTAGAGTGGTGTACCCAATATGGCAGAAACATTTAACACAGTAACAGTAGTGTTATAGGTCTGTTTTTCTGCTTTTAATATAAGGAAAAAATATTTGATCTATTAGTCTTAGATGCAGTATGAATGAATGTTAATATTTATTAGTTATCTACAAATGCCTGACTTTTGGCATAAAGCCATAAGCTGTTAGTGATACGTGGTGATTACATGTGAATATTAACATAGACAATATGCATCTTAAAGATCATGAAAGCAGTTTTAGCAGTTGCTTTTATTGCTGAAATAATTTGTTGAGAAATGTTCTTTATTTATACATATATAGAAAGTCAGAAATTAAAAAAAATATATAAAAAATATTTACTGTTAAGTAATAGAGAAATTCTAATAAGATATTGTCTTTACATGTTACTCTAAAATTGTTCAAGAACAGTGTTTTTATGGAGGTGCAGTTTTTCTGGAAATGCCTTGAAAAAACAAGTTTTGAAATATGAAACTCAGGATAGAAAAAGTTAAATGTTTAACTCAAGATGAAAATTATTCATTTGTATACATTGTAAACTCTATGGGTTGGCAAATAAAGTTTGAAAAATATAATTGGTTATAAGCATTTTGTGATAGCAATATGTTCAAGCTAGAACATTTCTGATGATTTAGTATAACTTGATTGGATGTTCTGTGTTGTTAGATACCTGTAATATTAGAAATGAGTTCTTTACCCCAACATATTAGTTATTTAGAAGTAATTCAATAAAACTGTTTCATTGAATCCAGCTGTTTCTTTTATAGTGGAGAGGAAAAATAATTAAAGAAATTTTCTTTGGAAAATTCATATTTGATCATATGAGTCAAATTTCCTTATACATCATACCTACTCGAATTATTATATTATGAAATTAAGTGTTCAATAACATAGTGTTTGAAAGTTTTCAATAACATACTATTTAAATTAAGTTTTCTACTGTTACCTCATTTAGTATAGTATAAGTTGAGATGTTTTTGTCTGTTATTTTTGAAACCATAAAAAATCTTATTGATGACAGTGCTGCTACATAGAAGTTAACTAGCTTTGGGGGGGGGAGGGAAGGAAACCTTCTAGATTAAATTTGAAAGTATCTTAGTCTTTACCAAATAGCAAAGTGCTGGCACATGGAAATATAAAAGTATTTTATTTCTGGCCACTGCAACACATTGCTTTCATAGATCTGAATTTGTTCATGAAAATTGAAAGATCTTACATTTTTCCAAATAGCAACATTGTTGCACATTCTAGATAAAAATGCTTTCTTTCGAACAATGTTGCCACTGCTCGCTTGCAAATCATTGTGTTAATAAAAAATTCATTAAAATTTTACAAGATATGAAATAAAAATAATGAAACAAATTCAAAATTTGGCCTCTTGTGTGCACTTGTTCGGGTGGAAGACTACGTTATTTAAAATTTACTAGCTGTCATTTTTTCACAGTGCGAGGAACATACATACATATGTACAGATCTTTATTATTTAATTTCTGTAAAAACAATGCAGATTGATAATATTTAGTGGTAACAATTTCAAAAATGAAATGCTGTTTATTGTGAACCAACAAAAATCCCATTTCGAGACTAATAGCCCTTTTGGTCTAAATAAGCACTACCAACATTTAAACGTCTGTAAGAAACCCAGGAAGAATCTGACATGTATAGAATGTAAATAAATTTCTTATTCTAAATAAATAGCTGTAATGATAATAAAAATATTTAATACCCCCTCCCAAGGTTGTTTTCTGTTAATTTGGAAGTGACTAGTAAACTTCTTTATCTGATAAATGTATTTATTGAAAAGAAATGTGCTAGTTTATTCCTGTTAGTTATTTTTTAAACTGCTTATAGTTGCTATTTCCTTAAGTCTTCATTTATGCCTTATATTACACCAAACAAGGAAATTAAAGAAAGAGTAAGAAGTTTATGAAAAGGAAGTTAAATGATTTAGGATTAGAAGTTAATATAATAGAAAAAGTGATAATTTTTTTTTTTTTAAAAAAGAAGAGGAATTATATATTTTCACGTATGTTCTATTTTCATAAATTTTATTTTATATTTTTGGATATTTTTTTAAAATGTGTTAATAGATTTTAATAAATGCAATTTTTTATATAAATTTAATAATGTAATTGTGTAAATTATTATGCAATAATGTAAATTTGTGTTTCCTTCAATGAAAAAATATTTATTAACTTCTTCCAGAAAGTTCTACTTGTTTTTTAATTACCTAATTTATTTTCAGGCTATCAATTTGATGCCTCCACCCAAAACGTATCCAAAAAAGAAAAAGTCCCGGAAACATGCTGATATTATAGGGTAAGTTCTTCATATTTATCAGCAGAAAAAATATGTCACTGGATTGTCATATTGTTAAATTAGTTCTTCCCACCCCTAATTTTATTAGTTTAATTACACTAGTGAAACAGGCAAACCTTGTATTCAGCATAGATTTTGTAAAATCCCAATCGATTTCGAGGGCAAAACGGGTCCCCCTTCATCAGGAGCAAAAAATCCTGCAGTAGAAATTAAGCCCTGCTCGTACTCACAGTATGAGGTAGTATGTTTTGCTCGTGATTAAGGGGGACCTATTTTACCCTCGAAATCAATTGAGATTTTATAAAATCTACGATGACTATAAGGTTGTCAATTTGCCTATTTTATTTTCCATGTCAGCGTGTTTTTCTTGCATTTTGTCGTAATTACACTAGTATTCAAAGGTAATTTTCATATACGATCAGTTATCTACAGAAGCACTGGATGTATTTTAATGGAATTTTTTACAGCGTAGTAAAAAATATACTGTTTAGTAGTCATAGTACTCATGTATGATTGCATATGTACTAAAGTATTGTGTGTGGAATGCATTATATCCTATGTTTATTTAACTGTAGTAAATATCTAGTATAACTGACGTAACTGTAGTATTATATCCTATGTTTATTTAACTTCATGTAGCTCCTAGGTAGCAGAGTTTAAAATTTGAGGCAGATCCCTAAATTGCACCTCCTAAATATCTTTGTATAATTTTCACATTAATATTTAATTAGTAATATTTTAATTTTTTGTCTACTTTCACTCTGATTTAGGTGCCTTATTCATTCATCCTTGGCATACTATGCTAGACGTTTACTTACAATTTCCAAATTTCTTCAAAATATTATAGTGGGTTATACGAAAACTGCTCCCATATTGTAGGTATGAGCAGGGCTTAATTGCTAAAATCGGAAGCCGCAAAAAAAGGAAAAAAAATAAAGAAATAAAATAACTAATAATTAAAGTATTTAAAAATTTAAATTAAAGTTAAAATTCAATAAAATGTAAATAAAAATTTAATAAATTATTAAATTAATGATAAATAGTTAAATAATAAAATAAAATATTGGACCTTGTCTTATTTGGGGTTACAACAGGAATTACAATTTCATTCAAAAAGCAAATAAATAGCTCATATAGCCTGTGACGGTATTTCAGCCTGGATCACCTTGTATAATACACTATCAAAGGATGATAGCAACAAACAATATGACATATAGGCAGATGATAGAAAAATTATCTTTTGGAGAAATATTTAGAGAAATATTTATTATTATCTTTTAGAGAATGGATAGAAAATCTATTCTTTCTCCATTGAAGAAAAGGTATTGCAAATGAAAATAGAGAGAATACTAGAAACAATATGAGAGTATGGATGGAAATTTTATTGGAGAAGTGTAGCGTCGAAAACAAAGAAGAGTTCAACATTGTCTGGCCGCGATCCCCTGCCGATATAAATCTAGCTGTCAAGCAGAATGTGGCAAGGAAACAAACTTGACCTGAATCCAGCCCTATAACAATGTAAAACTCTGTACAAGTGACAGTTTTCTTCCTTGATATTTATATACATCATTCCAAAATGCCTGTCTTTTCTTAGGAAGTTACTAGCGTTGCACGAGCACGACCAGAATGATCGCGTTTAGTACTTTTGAGGGTGGAAACTTGACCCATTCTCATAAGTTCAGTCCTTTCACACTTTTCATCCACAGAAAGATCTGGAACAATTTGTTCATCACTCTGTAGTTTATCCACATCATGTGTACAGTTCACCTTGGTATTTTTAGCAGTAAGTACATACTTATTTCCCTCTATTTCCTAAAAACCAGTTCTAGTTTTTGCATTAGAGTTATGGATAGAATCCAATCCTTCTTTCCCGTCTTTTATTTCTTCATCTTTTCGTTCTCTTTCTTTAATTTTGTTAGATATTTCATCCTTCCTTTCTTGATCTTTCTCAGACATTTCATCAGCAACTTTCTTTATTTCTTCATCCTTTGATTCTTCAGATGCCGCTTCTATCATTTCTGTATCTTCTTTTATGGCTCCAGTTTCTTCTGTAAGTTCCACTTTCGTATGTTAGAGTTGCTCTCGCAGCTTTTCTTGGCTGACTTTCATCTGTTTTCGTATGGCTTTCATCCCTTCTGGTCCGGCTTTCATCTCAGCTGTCGTCTGTTCATATCTAGCTTTTATCTCAGCATATCCAATTTTTGTCTCAGCCTTCATCTCTTCATATCTGGTTGTAATCTCTTTTCATACAGCTTTCATCTCAGCCTTCATCTCTTCTAGTATGGCTTTTACAGCTGCTAAGAAGTTCGTGAACTTCATTTTCTTCGCCATGGCTTTTTCCTGTAGGTGGGTCACTGGCATTCCTGGCATTCACTCGCAAATCCCACTTCTGACACCAGTTGTTGCATTCTGTATGGGTTCGTGGACTTGGAGTGATTGATGACAACAGTCTAAAAAGAATGAAAACACAATTTATTAGTCATTTTTACTCAGGACAACTCCAACAGCACGTTTATAGTCATCTGAAGTCTATGAAAAACACGCTGAAACAATCAGCAACACAGACTGCAGTCTATAACGGTGAATACAGCTTCACAGCAAAACACTAGAGTACAGCTCCTAACTCTTGTTCGGTCATTCACAAAACTCTCACGCTACAACTCGCTATGCACTCAATGATACACTTGATAGCCTTAACAATGCATACTCCTAATGTGCCAATTTGCGGTACACTGATGAGACACCTCGACACTAGACTGACGATCAGCTCGATAGACTATGAGACATTCAATCGACTCAGAGACTCTGACGAGACATACTCGACTACTCCGTGTACAGGCAGAGTTTATATAGCTTTTTAGCTGCTATCGAGAACATTCTGGGCCAAACCAGTAAGAATTCGTTCAAAAATGTTCTCCATTCATCTATGGCATATCACCAATTCTGTTGCCAAATGGACGAATTTTCACCAAATCTGGCTACCCTGCCTTCCCTTGTCATTTTCTGGAAGCCCTAAACCCATCTTGCAGGAAAGCTATCTCACCGCTGCTAGGCATTTTGTAACAATCTAAATACATCATTAGATAGATGAGAAAGCTCATTAGCAAACACACACACAAAATATTAAAATTGGGCAAAGGGTAACACATGAAATAATATATAAAAGATAGTGAAATTTTGGTGATGTCAAAACTCCATGCGCAACTGTGTGTGAGTGGCAAGGTCCTGTGGTAGACAGTCTGTGTATATGGGTGATGTTTGCTATATTTTATTTTATTTCGTCAAATGGCAAGGTCATCTGGTAGACAGTCAGTGTGTTCGGGTGGTGTTTGCTGTATTATATATGAAATGAAAAGTCATTTGATTTTCTGAATTAATCTCAATATGGTAGTAATCTCAATTGCCAAATGTAACTACCCAGTTACACTTGGCAATTCATTTATAGATGTAATATTTACTAGAAATATTACTTCAGACATCTTAAATTATGTATCTTATTTCTCATATCATCGACCAATTTTACCATAGGGTCATTTTGAATTAATAAATATAATAAATAAAAAATAAACTATATGTGTGTGTAAAATTTTTTGTTTGTTTTATTTGTTCTACAACATCCTCCCACATCCATTAGTAATCCTATGCATTAAACACCAATGACTGTTTTAACTAAAAGAGAGAGATTACCATCAATTTTTTTTCTTCTTTTAAAGCTTCTATGCACTTACTGATAGTGATATAAGACATCGTCCTTTGTTGTTAACCCTTTGTAGTGCACTATACTTTAAAGTCGGAATTTCAACAAAAATAGTTGTATGCAGTCTATTTAGGCTCTAAAGGAGTATACATGTAAAATGTTGTAAAAATTGCTTTATCGTTCTGATGCATAATAGCATGAGATCACTAAAGCCGCAGCGTTCCCGCTAATGGAACACTGTTTTATTCGTTGATTCTGCGCATGCTTTTTATATGAAAAATTTTTTAAAATATAGAACAAATAATATAGAGTATAGCCATTAAAATTACACAGAAAACACAGAAACGTTTTTTTCAAACAAATTTTTTTTGTAACACAAAATATAGAGAAAATTACCTGAAAATAAGTGGATTTTATTAACACGTCATAGGTGAAAATTCTGGATCTCCTCGTGATATGCTGCCATCTACTGTTTAAAAAGAAAAGTTCAAAATATATTATAAAGGCATTTTTATTCATTTACAGTTGAATTTAACGGTTTCAGAAGTGGTTCAAGTTGGGTATTCCATGAAGAACACTGAGCAACAAAGGTTAACAAACAAAGACTTTAGAGAATGATGAGATCAAATTTGCAAATCAAGTAAAAATTTAAATGCATTGAATCTAATATTTATGCCATTGGATCTGTCGAAAGGGAAAAGATGCCAGATATATCATTGTTATGCTCATGCAAAGAATTAATCATCCAGTGTTCTGTGGCAGTGATTTTTCTTTATTTTTTACTCTAACTCTATAAACTGAAAAGTACATATACAGTAAGACCCCGCATAACGCTGTTTCGTTTAGCGCTGTTTCTGTTTAGCGCTCTTTTATTTCAACCCGGGGATTCCCTGAAATTGTGCACAGCGCTAGGTTTCCAAATAACATATCCGAAACAGTGTAGTTGTGTTTCTTGTTTGGTGCGGTGCTGTCCGGACGCATTTTTATCATTTGAAACATTTGTTGACATTATTGTAAGTATAAACTTACGTAATACTATAATGATTAATACAGTGACAAATATTATGATCTTTAGTTTTTATCATGGGTGATAATAAAAAACAAGAAAAGAAAGCAAATAGAAAAAGCATTTCACTGGAAATTAAAATGCATGTGATTAGAAGATTAGATTCTGGTGAACGTCAATCTCAAATCAGTGCTGCATTGAATTTCACAACTTCAGTAGATTCAACATTAGATGCCTTATTGACAAAAAAGCAGAAAATTGGAAACACAGAATAGACTGAATGATCTGACTGACTGA